GCCTTTGCCCAGGATGAACTGAGCAGCAGCGGCTGCCTGCAGAGCGCTGGGGCCTCGCCAGCCCCAGCCCCAGATGCTGCTCTTTCTGCCCCAGACACCAGCCCCATGCCCGTGCCCACAAGGCCGTAGGCTCCTCCAGCAAGCGTGACCCAAAGAGCAGCGTCTCAGTGCAGGGGTGAGACAGGAGGTGCAGCAGCAGCTCATGGCCAGGGACAGAAAGACCTTGCTCCATAACCTCTCCTTCCTTGTGCAAAAGGGGGTAAGCACGGGCTCAGCCATCTCTCCTGAGGACAAGACTCAGTTTGTGCTCCTCTGTTGCTGGATCTCTCTGCCCAGAGGTCTAGCAACACCCCGGCTGCCTCGCACACTGAAAGCTCCCACCCACACACATCATCCCGACCCAGTTAGCCTGACCTCTCCTCTCCCAGACACTTTCTACAAATGGCTCAACTAGGGATTACATTTAGCAGCCGCCCACCAACCCTGCTGCCCAGAGAAATTTCCATTTTTCTCACGTGGAAAACTTGAAGCAGCACAACTTCCCTTGGCAGAGCGGCTGGGGGGCGGCAATGCCACGGCAGCCTCATTTCCCTGTTGATAACTCAGAAATAAGCCACCCTACTACCCTGTGGCTGCTTGTAGGCATGTGTTTGCAAGTCCCAAAACACACCGCATAGCCAAAGGGTATGTGCACTCCTCAGTCCCGGATTGGCCGGTGCTCATGGAGGCTGCAGCTTCCAGCTGCTTTCTGCAGTGGGGAACAGCTCCTGTCCTGGCCTGTGTGGGAGGGGAGCTCTGGCTGCCCACCCACTCGCCCAGACCAGGGTGCAGGTTATGCAACTGGAGTAGTAGTGTTGCATACTGGGACTTGTAGTCTCAGAGATCTCATCTTCCTACACGTTTAATCGTGCTTGAGACAGCCTCCTCGCAGGCCCAGGGTCCTTCGTTGCTGTTCAGTACATCAGTTCTCTGACCTTTTGCTGCAGGAGTTGCACTCCAGAACTTTGCTCCCAAAGCTGCTCCCTGCATTTCTGTCTGCCAGCAGGCCTGGCCTTCTCTGTTCTGGCAGCGCCCATGGCCAATGGGCAGAGGTGGTGGGCACAGCTGCTGCCACCTCCCACAGCCTTGGAGGGGCTTGGATGGCTCCCAGGCCAAGAGACCAGCAGTACAAACCCTGCCAGGCTGCCTTCCACGCAGGTGGGTGAAGGAGCAGGGCACCAAGGTTTCAGAATACATCAGGCTTTGTAACAGGCACAGATTTTCCCAGAGGAGATCAAAGCTGGCATCTCGAGGAGTGAGGGTAACTTCTAAAAAAGCCAGCTCACTGCTGGAAGATACTTCTTGGAAATCTTTCCTACAGACCAGGTCTTCTGAGTAGGCTCGAATTCAACTTAAAAAATCGAACTTAGCAGCAGCATTGCTTCAGTTTCACAGGTTTCAACACCAAATTTGTTTTATAGCCTGAGGCTTATCCTTCCATAGGGCTTTCTCCCACCAGGAAGCTTCACACTGATGCGGAAAACTCCAGCTCCACAGTAACCCATCCTACTGACACACGTTAAATCCCAATACTTATTTCTATTCTGTCTGAATGGCAAAAGTTCTTGATGTAAATGGGAACAGAAGACTTAGGGAAATCCACACTACAGAGATGTCTGTCCAGCCTCCTCTGGAAAACAGTGAGTCAGACCCATAAAAATGAAAAAGAAGTCCAAGGCTAGAAAAAGCCTATGCTGGGACAAACCTGAAGGCTAGTGTTGCAAACACTGCTCCTCACCAAGAGCAGACTGTCTTTTATGTAATTTAAGTTACAAATAGAGTTCAAGAGACTTACTGATAAAAATATGTATCATAGCACATGCTCCCTGTCAGTTGATTCTGATCTCCTTTCAGATCAAACGCTTTCCCCGTTTGTTTTTTTGTTGGTTTTTTTTTCTCTGTAACTCATGAAACCTTGTTATTGCAAAATCCAAATGACGTTCAAAGGCATTTTTTCTGGTTTTCCAGTCCATTTCTATTTACAGTATAGTGAAAACTGTTTAAAGAGCAATTCTGTCTGTCTTTCCAGTCTACATTCTTTCCATTCCAGTCCCGCTTTCTGCTGTTTCCTTGGGTAGCTTTTGCTGTGCACCACAATTGTCTGAATTAAGATGTAATGCTCTCAGTAGAAACGCGGTTTGCAAACGCAGTTTAAAACACAGCATCCTTCAAACGACATCTGAAGGCAGTAGGAAAAACTGAGCTTTGCCATTAGCTGACACAACTCCAAGAAGGCAAAGAACTGTTGAGATCAGAGGGCAGAAGTGCTGACATCAAGGCACTTGACAACTGAGCAATGATTTACAAAGAGTTAATCAGCTAAAGGTTTTAGCAAGCATTTTGGAGATAGCTCAAAAAAACTGAGCTGTAAATAGTAGTGAAGGCTTGGAAATACAAGGCAGAGAGGCAGTCTGGATACAGAAGGGCCATGGCCAGCACAAGAAACAAATCTGTGAACAAAAACATCTAAGGGCTGGAAGGACACAATCTGGAGGCAGTGGAGAGTGAGGAAGACAAGGCTGCAGCAGTGAAAATATTCCAGGAATGGTGGAAATGGGGTGAGGGAACCAGGATTTATTAACGGGACTTTCCTAGTGTGTGCATTACTCTTCCATTACGCAATATTTAGACCTTTGCTCGTGCAATTTAAAGAAACTCCAAGTTTTTAAACCCCTTATCAAGCCTGTAGGAGTCTCTTAGAATCCTTGCGATAGGGAAGGCATTGGTGCCTCACAGAGCTCTAATGACATTGTTGCACAAGACAAAGTAGAAAACATCAGGAAGGAAGTACATGTAGTTGTCCATGCCCATGATAAGCATTAGCCCTGGAAGAGCTCAGGATCTCTCCAAATTCAAGCCCTGTCAGTGGAAACGAGGATTTCTTCCTTAGACAGAAAGTGCTCCTTTCTGCACAGTCGGCCAGGCTGTCACTGAGGTCTGTGTCCCGGCTGCATGCCGAGATGCTGCAGGGCACCTGCTCCTCAGCCCCAGTCTCTGCCCTCAGTCTGGGCCATGCATGAGCACACACCAACGTAACACCAGAAATTTTACAACTGACTCCAAACTGTTGCCAGAAGCAAGAGCAATGTAGCTGCCACTGCTCCGCTTTGCCCATGATGTGAACCATTTCTGCTTAAATCCTTGACGGTCAATCTCCACTGCAGCCCCGCCATGAGCTGACTTTTTGTTAGGGCAAGTGCCTCTGCGTTCCCCACAGTCAGAGCACGCTGTTGGAGGATCCTAGCACATGGAGCGAGGGGGCTGACCGCTGGGCACAGCACCTTGACAACTCAGCTCCTCTCTTCCCGAAGCTCTGAGCTCCAGAATCACAACTGAAAAGGAGTGCAACACCAGAGTATTCATTTACAGGATGTATTTATTACACTGTAAAAAGTCCATTGGATTTGTAGCCATTTACTCTATATGTACACTGGTTGTACGCCCACCCCAAGCATAGGTTCCTCCCAGTACAGTATGCACTGGGTTGGAGTCCCGCCCATGCCCCTCCCAGTCACCACTGGGATTTCTGAGGTTGGTACTATTAAGAATTTAGCCAAATAACTGAGAGAGGGGGAAGAACAGAGGTGCAGCACTTGCCAGGCAGCCAGCTCTGCTCTGGGCATGAGGAGGTGAAAGAGTGGGACATCACCGCTGCAAGGCAGAAGCACAAGAATGACTACCAGAGCCTCAGCTGCAAGGGCATTCTAGGTGAAGGAGGTGGGCTCCCAACAACTAGAAGATGCAGAGGGGTGCAATCTGCAGAGCTTCCAAGAGAAAGCACAGCAGACTTGCTAGGCATCTGTCAGCAGGTGCCGCAGATCCCCACATCTTCAGCTGAGGAGGATGTTCTCCTAACGAATGGGACTGGACACTAAGAGGCCAATGTAGCGAGTGGTGGACAACACAGCACTGCGGTGCATGCCAGGTGAGTGGCTCCCCAAGTGCTGTTTGAGAGATGGCCACAGTGCTCTGCTCTCAGCTCACGGGACTCTGTGTTCCCTTCTCACCTGCTCAACTAGGCAGAGCCTTCTGAATTTGCTTCCTCCAAATGAAAGCCTGATTACATTTACAGGAGGGTGGAAAGCAGTACTGCTCCAACCAGGCTCCCCTGCTCCCGATCTGACATGGGAACTGCTGTGATCAACAGTGCAGAAGGAAAGCGTGTGGCTACAGAAGACAAGACGCTCTACGTAGCAAGCTGAGAGCTGCACTGTAAGCAATCCACACTTCTACATAAAATTCTCAACCTGCTGAAACCAGGCATGCCCAGAGCCCAAACGAAGCAGTGCAACCAGAAGCATGGGCAGGAAAGCTAAGGAATAGCTGGGGGTTTGTCCAGGGACTGGACTGAATAATCTGAGAGGCAGTCCTGTACTGCAGCCCCTCTCTGGTATGACATCAAATTGTTTTCCTTCTTCACCAGATGAACTGGTGGCAGCTTGGTCCCAGGCTGCTGGGTGTAGGCATTCCCTGGACCCCGAGATTTTGAAGGCAGGAAGGAGACTGGTCAGCGGAACTGGGCACCTCTCCAAGAATATAGGGATTTATAGGTGCATTTCTAGGTGGTTGCACCAAGCAGGGAGCAGAACGTGATGTGCTCCAGGGGCACTGTGGCAGCAGCCTTTCTGCTCAGGTTAGCATCATCTTCTAAAACAAACATGCCCGCTACCAGAGAACATTTGGCCAGCATCCTCCACCCACAGAGCTTCCTCAGCAGACAGTTCTCAGACAACGTCAAACTAATTGACTTCAGAGGTTGTCATGGGGTCAGTGGGCCGTGGAGTAGCTAAGAGAGGAACAGGAGAGGTGGCTTCAATTAGGGCTGGGTTGAGAATGATTGGCAGAGTCATGGGTGGCACCCCAACCTGCAGAGGAGAAGCAAGAGGCTGCAGGATGAGTGGCGGCTGCGCTGTCGTAGGAGGTATGTCTGTAACGGGGCTTGTCTTTGCCGGAGCTGATGCTGGGAAAGAAGGAGAGGCAGAGGTGCTGATGGTGGGTGAGGCAGGTGCAGTGGCTCTCTCGGACTCTGGAAAAAGGAAGAGACAAAATACGTCTTTACACAGGCCCTGACAAAATCACCTTTCAGCTCAAAGCTAAGCAGGGCTTAAGAGCAACTCAGAGGCCTTTTCAGATCTGCTCCTTCCACACACCTTCATATGAGGCCCTGAGGAGCATATGCCATCACAGGCACTCTGCCCCAACCTCTACCCTTCCCAATAACCTCACCAACAAGGCTACAAGCTATCTGTTTGGAAGCACAACAGTTTCACAACAGTAGAGAACTGGTTACTGTAGAGCATGTTAAACCAAGGAAAAGCAGATCCACGCCACTGAGCTGGGAAGATGATTCTAGACAGAAGAAAATGGGACTCACCGCTGGCACCCAGTTCACAGGGCTTCTCCAAAGGAGCCAGGTGGGTGGCTGGTCTCACATCACCCACAGGAGAAGGGGGCAGGGCAGACACTATTGATTTCTGATGCTGCTGCTCCATTGGTATGCTTGGGACAGGATCTAAGAAAAACAGAACTAGCAGTGAGCCCACACACCAGTTTGCTCGCTCCTTTTGCCCACCCTTGGTTTGCCCTTCTTGTGCCAAGCTCCACAGCCTCCTGCACATATAATTTCATCAGCAACCAGGCATTATGGCAGCTGGGCAGTGGACAAAGTGCAAGCACTGGGTCCAAGATCCATTTTCTTAAGGTTTCTCAGCCCCTCGTACCTTGGATGACTGTCTGTTTGAAGAGCTCATCCCGCAGCCTGGGTAAAAAACAGTCAATCCGCTCCCAGGTGATCTCCCAGAGATCTGAGTATCCTGTCCGCGAGTCAGCACTGTGGAATATCCCAGCCGTATCCATTACAAGCAGCATATTCTTCAGAGACTCAGGGATGGCCTCCAGCTGTAATCAGAGACACTCCTCAGGACACAGAGAAAGGACATATAGCAATGAACAAAAGCTTGAAACAGCTGTTGGGCTGCCTTGGAAACAGAGGCCAAGGGAAGAGACCATGGAACAAAATGGGTTTGGAAGGATTAAAAGGTTAAAAAAACCAAAGCAATCAACTACCTTCAAATTTAGAAGGTTAGAACTGATAAATAGTTGTTCAAAGCACTGCAACATCCCTTTCAGTGCCTTACCAGTAAGTCACTGGAGCCAGCATGCATGTACTTGTCCATAAAGTCCAGGATTGTCAGCCACAGGGCAGCAAAGGTGGTCAGTGAGAGCAGCGGGGAGAGATGCTGTAAGAACACCTAGAAAAAAACCACAACTACAGTCACCAAGTAGCATCAGGGCTGCTTCCCATGGATTGACAAGCCAGTCTTGCAAATCTCGAATTCCCCCTCCTTGTGGCAGGCAAGGAGCCTGCATGGGCCCAGCCTGAGGATGCCAGAGGCCTCCAACTCTTCTGAGCTGCATATATAGAGGACTGGATATTGTCTCCTTTGCATGAGGCCACTGCAGTCTGCATGACCATGTCTTCCAGCCCTTCCAGACACTCTGTCTTAGGTCAGTGCTATCAGCTTGTGACATGCATCATTTTGCCACAAGAACAGACTGTCTTCAACTAATGTCTTTCCTTAAGTCACAAACTCCTTCCTGACCAGTCTTCTAGAGACCAGGATTGTGGAGACAGTTCTGGAAAGAAGGCATGTCAAAACAGCAGAGGGTGGTGGAGAAGCCCAGCACTGAAGACAGTCAAATGAGCAAACTGACCCCTATCCAGATCAGAGATGCTGTCAAATCAATACAGCAGTTTGGTTTTCTTGAAGCACGTGGTTCCTGAGCCTTCAGACAGCAGAAGCATGCTCACCTTGGAGAGTAGTGTTGAGGCTCTCATCCTAGTTTCTTCCATCCCACCAACGTCAGCTGGGCTGATGTTCTCAAGTAGCTTGGTTAGCAGAGGGAACAGTACCTGTTGAATCAGACCCACGTTGATGTTTCAGAGCTGAAAAATGACTGATGAGATTTGCACAGACAGCCTTACAGGAAGGAGTGGCTTTTGGGACTGCTGGCTTCTAGGCAAAGAGCACAGGAGAAGCAATGGGAAGTGGAAATGAGTGGATTCATTTCAGTACTTCAAGAGGCTCTGTCAGAACCCTAAGCAGAGGACTTCTCAGAGGATCAGAGTAGTAGGGAATGCCTTGTCTGCTGCGGTGAAAAAGCTCCCCAAGAAGATGGTGCTGAAGTAGGACACTGTTCTGCCACTCCTGCACACAGTTTTGCTCTTCCTGACAATCCTGTCCTGCCTACACGCCCAGCCCAGTCAAGAGGTTACCTTGTTGAAGCAGGACTCCCATTCCAGGGCATCCAGGGCCTGCAGGTCATGTACCAGGAGGGCCCGCTGCAAGTAAGTGAGTGCCTGCATCCGTACCTGGCGTCGAGCATCACAGCACAGCCAGGCAATACCTGCAAGAGAGGAATTCAGGGCAAAGCCTACAGGAAAGTGTCACATCCCTATCTTCCCAGTCCAGGGTGGAAAGTCTAATGAAGATCAAACACTCTGGTGGAAGAGAAATACAGGAAAAAAAGAGAAAGACTGGGGGAAAAAACAGAACAATGGGGAAAAAGAAACCAAGAAAGGATTATACTTGTTCCAGGCCACAGACCAGGAACTACTGTCAAGTGCAGAACCAAGCTGGCAGCTAACTCATGCTAAAGATACCATTCCGGATCTGACCCAAGTTCTTTTTCAATTACAGCAGACTCTAAAGAACAACCTCCACCTACTTTCTGCAGTTAGTTCTTGGCTCCTCAACATCCCTGAGTGCTGCCATTATTTTGGAAGTGTCTCTGCTCACTCTCAGCACAAGGGGATGGCTTTACCCTGTAGCAAAGGACACCAGCAGTTGGACCACAGCGTTCGGGAATCTGCCTCGATTTTCCTCCCTGTCGTCTCTAGATGGCGCTGCTCCTCTGCCCAGGAGCTGTAGATGGTGGCTGCTCGCGTGTGCAAGGTGTGCATGAGGTCCAGGAGCTGCAAGTCAAGCATCACGTTAAGCAACACACAGGACTTAAAATTTCTGAAGCAACCCTGGTCTCTGCTCTTCCCCAAATCAGCGCTAAAAGGCCCACAGCTACTCAAGCCTGCTTCCTGTATGTACATCCATGTATAGCAATGAAGACAGTGACAGGCCTTGCCGTTCGTGCCCTCAACTGCCCAAGGGCCAGGCACCTTCAGCAAGATTTGTGTCACTTCTGTAGCCATGTCAATTCCATCTTCGAGGAACAGCATCCCAATCTTGCCAGGAGAAAGAATGGAGCCTTTCCCAGCACAGAGCATCGATTTTCCCAGGCAGAGGGAGGAACCCAGTGATTCAATTATGCTGTCCAGAGACAACTCTCTGCAAATTTTTTTTAAACAAAAAAAAAAAACAAAACAAAAAAGCATGAAGCACATGCAAAGCTCCTTCATAACAACTCTGTATGGGCAAATGACAGCATTCTAGACACTCTACTCAGGAACTGAGGCCCAAGAGCCTGGCAGTCAGCAGGCCTGTGCCTTCACACCTTTGAAGTACCAGCCTGAAAGAAAATTACTCCCACATCTCAGTCCTCTGTACTTGAAACTCCAGTGTCTCAGCCCACAGGGCTCTTCCCTCTCCACAAGCTCAAATACTGTCTGACTTGCCACTAATCTTACGTGAACCTCATGGCTGCAAACACCCTTGATTTACATCCATCTTACCTACGACAGTGAATCATGGCTCCAGACCCCACTCTCCTTACTTTTCAGAGGACTTCTCTCTCCACTGCTATTCTGCTTTTGCCTGTCCAAATTGCAGTCTTCTCTCACTGCAGAACCACACGTTGCCACCACAGCCATCCTCTGCCATCTAGTGCTCACTAACCCCTGCAGCCTCCCCTCACCCCATGAAGAATCCCAGTGACTTCCTAGCAAGACCCTGAGTATGGGAAAGGAGAGGAGGAAATCCTTGCTATACTTACGTCCTGACTAACCTGTAAAGACACAGTGTGGTAGCTGGCAGGGATGCTCTCATCCTCATCCTCATCACTGTGTGTGTGTGCCTGGTGCTGGCTCAAGACCCGCGATCGCCGTGCAGAGCTCTCCTTTGGCTTCTTCTTTAACCGACTGGATTTACTGTCATACCTGTGGCTCTTCCCTCTCTTCTCCTGGGACTTGTAGCCTAGAAAGTGAAAGACAGCAACATGCGTTATAAACACTCCGCCACAAAATTTTCTGCCTTTCAACACACACAGCAGCCACCTTTTGATAGTGGAAGGCCCTGTTCTGTGAAGTGACATCTATGTGCTTGAAGAGGTACCCAGCACCTCTCAGCTGGTTGCCCTTCGGCAACAGCTGATATCACTGCCTCCACATCAGCTCCACACCTCCCCTCCATCCCAGAGAGCGGGATAAAAATAAGGTCCCTGCTGCCAGCAGGAGCCAGGACACTTTTCTCACAGCAGACCATTTTCTGGGGGCTGGGGACTTGGGACTTGCTCCCTGACAGTGCACTTCACACTTCTTGCTGACTGGCCACCTCAAGCCCAATCCTGATTGGCAAACCAAGGCCCATCTTACCTCCATTCAAGCTCGCTTCCACAAAGATACGGATGGTTTTGACACAGAGCTCAAAGTTCTCAGGTGTAACATGGGCAGCATCTCGCACGATGAAAGACAGGGACTCTACGCACTTCATGAGAGACTTTGTGTCATGTGGTCCCAAATCCAGCCCCACAGTCAGGCTGTACTGGTTGACAAGAGGAGACGGCCCCAGCCTGCTGAGCCCAGCACTGGATCTGGAAGTGTCGATGTCATCTTTCCCCACCTGCAGGGCACAGCAAGAAGGTAGCAGAAGAGGGTAGCATAACAAGCAGCACCTCATGCACGCGCTGAAAGGGCATTTCTTCTGAAGCCAACAGGTAATGTTTCTGTAGGATCTATTTCCCTCTCTTCATCATTTGTCTCCAAGCTTTCTCCTCTCTATCTGCATCTCCTCCCCATACTTCTTTTTGCATCTTAGCTCTCTCTTCCCCTGTCCTATTCTTTCTCTCCCTACCATGCACTCCACCCACAACCATGCTAGGAGTAGTCTTCTTCAGGCACCAGAAGCCCATTGGCTACTCACCACCAGCCAGCCACTGTTCATGACATCCACATCTGTCACGGAGCGATGCATCTTGCCTGGCTTCCCATGGTCTGTGTACACCTCTGAATCAGAGGTGTAGCCACGGTCCAGGCTCATGTCACTTGGATGATAGGAGGAGGAGACCTCGCTGTCTGACTGAGCACCTTCAAGACAAAAGGCATTGGTTTTAGATCAAAGCCAAATCAAGAACCTGGAAGAGTAGCTGTGGATGAGGGAGAAGCAACCCCGATTAGTCAGATCGGCATCAGCTAGGAACCACCAGTGAGCACTGGGAGAAACTGGGCCAGGCCTCTCCTCCTGTAAGAGGAAGAACAACTATGACAGGAGCATGCACAGGAAATAGCAGGAGATAAAGATCTTTGACACTGTTTCTCCCCTGTAGGTATGTTTGGCTTTCTCCTTCAGAGGGAAGTGACTTTCCATCCTCTGCTATGTCCCTTGTCAGCCTGACCATGGATTTAAAAAGGGCAGGAAGTCCAATGCTTTGACCGTGGGGGAAGAGTAAGATGTACTACACACTTTAAGAACTACTGGAGGTGCTAGGTTCAGCCAAGATAACTCCAAAAGCACAACACAGAATGACATGACTCACGTAGGGCCTCTAGGGTCACTCAGCTCAAAACTAACGCTGGTAAAGTCTATTCTCATGAACAGCAATCTACATAAGCATATTCCCCACCTGTCAGCTCTACCTTCCACGACCTTTAGGATTACCTTAAATTTCACATGTCCCAAGCACAGAAGTCTTTGCAAGGGCCAAATTTAAGCTACTGATATAATGTTATTTAGGAGCAAAAATTAATTCTCTCCATCACTCAACACTATCTAGAAACTCACCAGCAGAGTCAGACTTGCTGTGAACACAGTGCACCAAACATTTTCAGAAGGAGGTAAAGGTAATGACCTGATTTGCAAGGTGCTACAGTCAAGTAGTTGCTCAATCAGCAAAGACAGAAGCAGTAAAAAAAATAAAAATATTAAAAAGGCGTGGAGAAGACAGTCCAGCATTAGGCCCAGAAGGCAAAGGCCACAGGGGTTTTGCAAAATCAGGTTTCTCCCATCTGTCCAGCACAAAGTACCAGGACCTAGCAAGGAAGTTCTAGAGAAGCAAAGAGGAAAATGAAGGTTTCTGGAAAAGTCTTTTCTTGCTATTTGCTTTAAAAGTCTGAAGCCGTCAGCCTCAAATACATTGCCAGCTGGCTAAAGTAAAACAGGATCAGTTTGCTGAAAAGACTGTCTTTCGAACACAGTCAAGGCAAGTGGGAAACAGTGACTTGGTCTTGTGGGAATGATTCAGGCACTCTGAACAAAAATGGATTTGGAAATAGAATTTTAAAGAATTTTCTCCCTCTACGAGATCCTTAAAATGGGGACAGAAAGGAGTCAGTCCCACAGAAGCAGCATGTATGACAGGAACAACAGCTGGGTTTACATTACACACCCAGATGAGAGATTAAGGTTATATTACCCAAGGCACCAGACCACAACCAGCAGAAAATGCTCCTTGGGTAGAGCAAAGACCTTCTACAGCTGCTACAACTGATATCAGTTTTCCACCCACTGCTCCCCCAGGGACTAGCACCTGGACTGCTGCACACAGACTAGGAAGAGATGGCAGAGTAGACAGGGACAGACCATGAGGTAGGAGTGAACAGCAGGTGCTGGTCTTTAATCTTGCTAATGTAGTTTAATATCAGCTTTGTTTTCTTGCAGTCCCCTTTGCTAATTGAAAAGCTTGAGGAAGCAGCTGCTTATCTGGCAGACAGGCATCAGATTTCCTAGCAAAAGCTGGCCTGTCTTACCTGTGTCGTTATCTGCCCTTGCTGTAACCTGCAGGGCTGCAGGCGGCTTCACCCCCGACCCAATACACTCCAGGAGGGTGAAGAGCGTGTACCAGTCATCCCCACAGTGAATGTTGGCAGCATTTGTCTTCAGGAGTTCATGGAGGCCATAGGCAACCTCATGGCTAACTCTGGACAGCACGTTTGGCTTCATCATGAGCAGGATACGTAATGATAAGAGAACCTGGCCAGAGAAGGAGACAAAAATAACAGACCTTATGATTTACATTCCATTCTCCAGCAAAGTTCCCCTCCATTTATTTAGAGCTGCTTACAACTGCTGGTTTTTGTTACCTGCAGCACAGACAGGTTAAATGTGGGTCCATCCAACAGCAACTGGTTTCCTGTGTTGCCAGACGTAGCCACAAACCCCCCCTAATTGACTTCTGAAAATCCCTTACCTGCGCGCTGATTTCTTCCCGACGAAGGAGCCGGATTGCTAACCTCAGCAGCCCCACCACTGCTCTTTCCACCAAGAAGCAGAAGTCCATTGCATGGACACAGAGATGATAGAGGTGGTCTCGGACAGTTTGCCAGACACAGGTCACACGGTCCCTAGCCACAGCAAGGAGGAGGGAAAGGGTAGGATGAAAGGAGATGAGACAAGAGGGATCCAGCTACCTCTCCCAGAATGCCAGTCAACCAAGAATTTCTTAATTTCCATGAAAAACTCCATTGAAGATATATAAGAATGGACACAGAAACAACAAAGCCTTCTAGTTTCTTATTTACTTAATTAATTACAAAACATTCAGGTGGGAGAATTCTCCCTCCAGAATTTACTCTATGTTCTCCAAAACTCAGGATATCAAACAATAACTCATGGGTGCATACCCCTCTGTTTGCACATGCTAGAGTGGAATTGCTAAGCCCTGAAATTACAGCCATACGCTGCTTCAGCTGGCAAATCAAGCACATAAGGAACTCATTCCCTAAACCCAGGCAGCAGCTGCAGTAAAGCAGGGACATTTACAGTGAATCTGCATGTATTTCAAGGTCATACCTATTCTCTAGCACAATCCTCAGAAGCATCTCCAAGCAGAAGGCAGCATCCTCTTCATCATATGTCTCCTCATCAGGAGTCACAGAGATTAGAGCCTAGAAAAGCCAGGGAATGTTTGTGAATCACAGGGGACCAACAAGTTGGGACCAACAGAATCCTTTGAGCCTGGGCAAAACTGCACTCCCCTATGTGGTGAGGTGATGCATAGTCTATCAAAAATGTACTGGATAGAGGTATGAAAAAATATATTGTCTTTATTATGTAAGATACCATATGAACTTAAAATATGTTAAACTCTTAACGAAGTCTCTCAAATGGAAAAGAATTCTGAAAGTCAGCAGCTTCTTGCTGAGAATATGTGAAGCACAGAAAAGGCAAACATGTCTAGGAATGACTACAAATACTGGAACTATTCCTCTCAAACCATCAGCCTGTGTATGAAGAGAGAATTCCTGCCATAATAGGGGCAAGAAAAAAATGTTCCCCTGGAACTGACATGGCACACAAAAACTGAGTCACCACTTCTCCATTTGGGCCAGTAATGTAGTGGTCTTTGTGTGACCCAAACAGCAGGTTCTGCTTTGGATATTTAAGCATTGTTCTTTGGGGTTTACTCACTTAGCATCTTTATTATGAAACTCAATACCTATTCTTCTGAACCTTGATAAATAAACCTTTCTTGTGGTTTAGGCTAAGTCTCAGAAGTGTCATGTGCCCTACTGATGAAGTCAATGAATTGCAATTACAGCAGCCTGAAGGGAAAGGCACTTGCACTTTAAGGAGCCATGGAATTAGGCAACACAGTATCCCTGCAAGGGCTGCACTACGCAATTTGCTTCTGGAAAAGGTAAGCAGTGGTCAGATCTGTTCCACACTCTGGAGAGGTCTCAAACTCCACACTAGCCTGAGTAGCCACTACCAGAACCAGGTAAGTAACTACTGTCCTCCAGGGAGGTGAGCTTCTCTAGCCTAAAGGCTAGTGAGCCCAGCCTTATTGCATCTCCCACAGCCAGGTATGACACCACCTAGGGGCACACAGTCAAATATTTCTGTACAGGTCTTGCCTTTAAAGCAGCCTTTTAGAATGTTCTCATTAGGCACACAGCACACCAGAAAAAATGAAAACGCATAACCTTAAGCTCCTACACAGAGCTATGCATTTTCAAACACTTACCATGACCTCCTCAAATTCCACAATTTAACATCTTTCTCTACTGCTAAAGCAATTGTGGCTGCCAGCACAGAAGTTACACAGAACAGCTGAACTAATGACTGTTTCCATATCCCAAAACAGGTCCAGGACCTCCTTTGGGGATAGAGAAGCTAGGCAAGTACACAGCACATATCCATGATTGTGCATAGTATACTTGTTCCATCACCAGTACAATCCCTTGCCCAATATCTCTCTCACCTTCATGAGCTCCTGGAGGGATTCAAGTTGGAGGAATTTGCTTTCTGTGATCAACTTCTCAGGATCACAGTGCTGCAAAAGACAAAAAACGAGGACTGTTCATCTGGGGAAGGCATACACACAGATGCGCCAGAAACACAGCTTGTTCCCAGGAAAGATACAGATAGTATCTATTTCCTGGGAAGGATACTATTTTCTTTAACACAGTTACCTGGAGGAAAACCCCTGCCAGCCAGTTCACTCCTTTAACAGACATGATCTCTACTAGACAGATTTTAACAGATAACTCACTCCTCTGTCCACACACTGCTCAAGCCTCAGGTTCAGATTTTGTTGGCACCATACACCTTAACACTGTCTTGGAAAAGATTAGTCATTTAAGAATTTTTAAATTTGTCTTCAATTACAACTGTGACACCAAGGGTAGACCGAGTCTCCTGCGGGGAATCATTCCTGTTTCCACGTGTTACTACACTTGTGCATAGTGGTACATAAGACCCTGCAGCTGTCAATGCTCCTCTGTAGTTTCTTAGAATTCCAAAGTCCTCTGGAACCTGCAATACTGCTTAGAAGCGTGCATACTTATGCTTACGTTGTCTGTTATCCACATAGTACTGTCACCATGAACAAAAGCAGGTTCTTTTACAGCCTGTACGTTACCTTTATGCACTCCAGAGCCGTTCGCTTTGCCTCCTGTGTCTCTGTAGATGGCCCTCTCATACCAGATTGCTCCGTCCCACTAAGGGTGAGCCAACTAACAAAACTCAGCACTGTAGATTCACCACTGCAAATCAAAAAAACACCAGCATCAGTGAGAAAACAAGAAATTGTATTAATCTCCAGCTTTGGTACAGAAAGGACTACCTGGGCTATCAACACCACTCACCGGTTGGATGGTGTCTCCTCACGTTGCAGATAGATTTTACCATTAGGATCCACAAAGTCCTCGACCTGGCAGACAGACCAGAACGTGTATATGTTCAATTGTGGCTTTTTCGCACTTTTAACGTCTTTGTAGCCTCCCCCACAACCCTGTAACGTTTCACTTATGAAACTACACCCAACTGCCCTAGTGTGTGTAGGCAGTCAACTTGTATTGGGTTTTCTGTGAGGGGTTTTTGGTCGTGTCTTTGGTAACAGGGAAAGGGCTATGGAGATGACCCTTTAAGAAGCTACCTGAAAAGCTCCCCCTTTGCCTTTGTCAGATCCACCTCTGACCAACGCCAAGCCAATCAGCGCCCCTGCGAATTCATGTATTTAAGGGGGGTGCAGGGCATGCCTCCTCTCTCTCTGACTCTCCCTGACCAGTGCGGCCCCAGGTGCGGGTGG